ACACAAGCTTCTGTACACCTAAGTGCTGTCTAACCTAATCATGACCTTCCTGTCTGTACATCCATTAAGCCGTTACACATTTCAGAGTATGTCACCTGACTGTAAGGCTCCAGAAGGCCCCTCTGCTAACTAACTACCCACGTTTAGTATCTTGTTAATAGGGCTCGCCCTTGCAGAGTTCACCCAGACCCCAGCACTGACTTTATAGCATATCCCTAGTACTTTAGTATACCCCTGTTTCTAACCCCAGACTCCCAATCCAAATAGCTCAGTAGGACTGTGACCTGTCTCTGGTACCCCAGAATCTGCCCCCAAGGTCCTTTTCCTCCAGTTCGAGTCTTCTGGCAGCCTGGTTAGTAGTACCCCTCACCTGAGGTTCTTGCCTACCCAATTCCTTCTACATTGGTATCCATTTCCTAAGTCTAGCCTTTACAGTAGTACTGTCAAAGATCTGTGTTACCTCTTAAAGAATAACTAAATTAAAACACTTTATATTTAATAAAAATATAAAAGTATTCTGGTTTAATTATTTTATTTTTATTATTATTAAATTGTTTTTATATTTTTAAAAATATTAAGTTATTTATATTATTAGATTTTTTTAAATTTTATTAAATAATGTTAATATTAATTTGTTTTTATTTTTTAAAAATTAGTTGTAAATAGAATATTGCTTTGAAGTATAAACTAAAATATAAACTAAAATATTGCTTTAAAGTATAAACTAAAGTATAAACTAAAATATAAAACTGAAATACAAAACTAAAAAATAAACTAGAATATAAACTAAATATAAACTAAAGTATAAGTTAAAATAATTAAATTAGTTTAGTTTAGTTTTAGATTTACTTTATTAATTTATAAATCAAACCAAACTAAACTATTAATAATAAAATTCTATAAATTTTTTCTAATTTTATCTTAGATACTATACTAGATTGTATTGAAATTCCTAAATCAGCAATATATATACTATATAAATTAATTTACAAAACATTTTTACTATACAAATCTTGATAAATAAGTTTATAAGAATAAATTATTTGAAAATCTAATACAATATGAAGTAATAAATTTAATTTATTTCTTCAAGAATATGATGACTTAGTGAAATAAATAAGTTATTAATTTTTTAAATAATAGGTTATGAGTTCAAAACTTACAGTAAAAATTTGAACAATTACATATATAATATTTGTATTATAGCAATCATTTCTAATGTTTAGTTTAAAATATTTATAAATATAGACATATCAATATAACTAGCAGATTATAAAATATTTGTGTAACTAGTTATACAGAAGAATACAAACTGACATTAGGCAATATAAACTTAAGATAAATCCTTGTGATTGTATAATCTGTAAAAATTAAAGAACAAAAAGCCTATTTGAGAAGACCTAAGTAAAGAAATAACACAAATCTTTAACTGTACTACTATAAAGACTAAATCTAAAAAACATATACTAGTATAGAGTATTTAAATGAACAAGAATTTCTAGATATGTGTACTATCAACCAGGTCATCAGAATTTTAACTAAAAAGATTAAAAGAAAAAGATATCAGACTAATCTGATATATTAATAAACTGATTATAATTCTATCAGACTATCTGAATTAGAAATTTGAAAAAAAAACAAAGATATACTAAAAGTACTAAAATATATTATAAAATAAATACTAAGATTTAGATGAATTTTGTAAAAACTAATCCTATTAATAATCTATAAAATGAGTAGATTAGTTAACAAAAAAACTCTTTAAACCTTACAATTAGATAACATGTTTTGAAATTGGATAACAGCTTAACAGATGTATAGAAAGAAAGACTAAATGTTGGGTTAGATAACACTTAGTTGTATAAGAACTGAGTTGACTACTACCTGGATGCAATATAAGGATCAGAATGTTTAAATAGATAATCTTCTAGTAGATTATAGGTATAGCAACTAGTATAGAACTTGTGAGCAGACTACATAAATAGGTAACCAAAAGTTGCATGTGTAACTAGTTACACACTCACCCTATACAAGTAATATGTAATGTATTAACTAAAAACACAAATAAAAGCATTAGCCACCATAAAAATCAACCTTAATAAAAAATAAATTTCTCTCTTCACTTCATTTGTGCTATTTTGTAAAGATTATCACGTAAAGATCCATTCGTTGCAGGTGCAAAAACAAGAATATAGTCCTTAGAAGTATCATCTCTTGATATTCCAAAACACTTAAACAATGAAGGATTTTTATCACCAATATCACAATATGCTTTTAACTTTAATATTTGAAAAAAAATTAATTAAAAAATATACATATATATATATAGTATTAAAACAAATCCTACCTCTTTTATAAACTCTTCCTGATATTTTTTCGATCCATCTATTATTTATTAAAACTTAAAATTTAAAATTAATGTTACAAAAAAAACAATTATATTTATTATTTATTAAAACTTGAGATTCCGCTTGCAAGGCAGCGGGTTCAGACCTAGTTTATTAAAAAGATTCACAAATTTTAATGTTTCATTATATAACTTGTAATTTGTGAATTGTAACTGTACAAGTAAAACTCAATTCTTGATTTTCTTCCAAGCCTATTCCATAACTAACATTTATTTGTACTATTTGACATTTATTTGATATCTTTAATTATTTAATATTCATTCATTTGCTTCGATATTTGTAATTTAAATCATACTTATCTAATAAACTCGAGAGTCAAACTTTTTCATGTTTAAAGATCTTTAATTTTTGAATTTGCAAGTATAAAAAAAAACCCCAATTGTTATATCGATATTATTTATACTAATTAACAAGGTTTACATCGCAGTTGATGTGAATTATGATGTGAATATAATCATAATCAAAAGATTAAAAATTTTTTTATCATTATATTTAAGATCTATGCTTATTTCGAGTAGTTAGAGTAGCAGCTGACACGTCATTTACCGTGTTCAATATATATAAATATTATTACATATTAACCAATTGTTTACATTTTTATCTCTGGTCAAAGTTTCTATTTTCCATAATATTATAAAAAATTCAGAATGCAAATACATTATATATAAAAAGAAAAAACAATCTATAACAATTACTAAAACTAATTATCTATAGATAATCTATGATTATTTTTATCCGTCAAAAAAGTATGTTCAATCTCCCAATTTTTTTTTACAAGAACTTTTAAAAAAATTTCAAATGAATTTTCTACCCATTCATGAGAAATTTTCATAATATTAAAAATGAAATCATTATAATCTTTATCTAATTTAAAAAGATCATGACCTTCCAATAAATACCTTACTGCACATGCATGATAAAAACCTTTAATCATATCTTTTGATTTTGCATTTTGTGAAAACCAAAGTACAACATGTTGTTTGTTACCGGAATTACGATTTGGTGTATGAAGAATGAAATATTCTTCAGAATGAATGAACCCTTTATGTGTTAGAGATGTAATCAAATTATTTGTATATTCCTGTGAAGTATAATGATGTAAAGCAGGCTCGATCACCAGAGGTATTTTAAATGATGAATGATAATAACCAACAAATATTTCTCGTGATGATATATTTTTTGGTGTCGGTATTAGATCTTTTATGACATTATTATGTGGTAAAGATAAATTTGATCTTTCATCAAGTGATTTTAAAATACCATATAAAATCATTTCTGCACGAGGAACATTGAGAGTATTTGTTGTCACATAAAGATTAGACCGATAGCTTGAATAAATGTTGAAAATTGAAAATGGAATAAAGCAGATCATGATTGGAATAATCGACTGAGAAGCACTATAGACTGTGATGGAAGCACTGATAATAACACCAAGAGCAGTTCCTATATATATTAAAATTAGGAAATATTTATTATTTATCGCACCCCATTATTTATTACATCTTTGTATGTCAATCAAACCACTAGATCAGATGTAACGTGATAATCTTGTGAGTTGATCGATCGACAGGAAATGTAATAAGATGCAGTAGAAACTTTTTTTAAAAAAAGTTAATACTGTATAGTACATGACCCGTTGCTTGCGCTAACGAAATCCAAAATTTCTTGGAAATGAGAACGTCAAGTATAGAAAGACGGAGACGTGCGAATGTTATACGAATATGCATACTCCAAGAGATTTTAAATATATAATATAAACGAGATTTTTAATATATATAGATATCTATAAAATATTACTTACGTACCAAGTAGACCTGCTGCTGTACTCTGTGACCCAGACTTTCCGGTAATATCACCCAAGCTATTTGTACATTTATTATTAACAACTATTTGATTTAGAATTGTTAAGATATTAAGTATACTTACTTATCTCTTAAAGCAAAAGTTTTGTGCATTTGTGCGCTGAATTGAATAAAATAATCATATAAAATTTATTATACGTATTTAACAAGTTAATTTCATATGGAATTAGGAATTTACCGAGTTGCAGAACCAGCAAGCCAAGCAATATTTTTTCCTGTATTTATAATTTATGTAAATAAATATTAACGATTTAAAAATAATAATAACGATGATAATAATAGATTATTATACCAATATTTGAAATCGAAGCGATAATTAAAAAGATTCCTGGCCATAAAGGAGCCAACAATTCCAGTAGAGAAGCCCATTGCATAACAATTACAGATTGAAACCGATGACGTTTTGGTTCAGAATCAAAACGGTCGTTAATAGATGCAGCATAGATTACACCACCTAATTGACCTAAACCATCTTTTATAATCCAATTTAATGCTGCAGCGAGCTTCAATAATGAAATTGACATATTAGCCCAATAATAATAGCCGTGAATCACATATTTATTGAATGATATTTAACGCACAGGGATTGAATTTGCGCCCAGTCCCATGGCGTAAATTAAAGATTGTGTTGATAAAACTATCAAAAGATGAACAAATAAGTAGGAAAGAGTAAACTTCAATAGTTATTAAAATCATAATTAAGGAAATAATACCTCCAGTGACAGATCCGGCAATATTATGATAAAACTGCCATTTCATGAATCCCCAATAATCTTTAGTTACAGAGTCATGATAATCTTTGGGCATAAAAGCAGTAATAGTATATTGTTTAATTGATAAAACTAAATCACGAAAAGATATATCTTTATGTGATGATGAGCGTTCAAATTTTATAAATGGATCGGAAAAAGTTTTATCAGAATCTATTTTATCATTTGAAGAAATATTAAGCATGTTTGATTTTGAATTCCATAGTTTTCCATTTTGTCGAACATGTAAGTAATGTCGAGAAGGATTAAAAGGTTTTGTAGATCTGTGAAAAATTTTTATGTGTTGTGGTACAATCAAAGTTTTTGGTCTAGAAAATAGAAAGAAAAAACGCATGATTTTAAGGAAGATCACTATATTCTCAAAACTTTTATAATGATAGTCGGGTACCAGAAAATTTTAGGAGGAAGATCATCTGATTGGTGAATAAAATCAATTGCTTTTTGTATAACATATACATCTATCTAAATAACTTACCCAATTTAACCAATTATATCAATCGAAACCAAATGTAAACGAACTAAACCTTTAAGCATTTGTGTTACAATAAATCAAAAGAAAATACAAATATTACATAAATAAAGAAAAACCCAGTCAGTACCTTGTTTTTTTAATCAACATGAAATTTGGATATATCATTCGCAAGTATCATTTTTAAGAATTTCATATATTTATTTCGCACTTTGAATTAATCAATTTAAATAAAAATAAAAAATAAAAAGAGGACAACCCTCAATCAACCCGTTTAATAGCACCACCACATAATTTCACACGACTCCTTATATCAGCCACACAAGTATCATGTTTTTTAATAATTGGTACTAAGGAGGAAATACTTGGGTTTCTTCAAGACCATCATGAAGTCTTACTTTTTTCACATTTAAATCAAATAATTTCAGCAAGAGATGAACTCTTAATCCGTTTATCGCCATATACAAAAAAACAAATTGGACCAACAGCATTGGGAACAAATTTTTCACTTGATTGGATAAAGTGCTTGATATCATCAACAAGATGGTGTCTGGAATTTAGATTACAAACCTCAAATTGGATACAAAATGAGGGAAAATGGGAAAGATGGGCTAGTAAAAGAAAAGAATGGAATGTAATAAATGGGACCACATTAGGGAAAGTTAAAGAGATTATTGAAAGGAGATGGTAAAGAAGATTTCTCTACGAAGGAATGAAACATGCTTTCTCATTATAACAGAATAAATAGCATTTCTCATATTGCCAACCTGATTGATGACAATACAGTTCAATATGAAGCTTCATTCATATTCTTAACATTTGATAACAAGAAAGATTTATTTAGAATTTTGCTTTGTGATAATAGTTCCGATCTTCAGTTTGCGACTCATACATAGGATAAAATGAGTGGCATCACCAAAGATAAATATCGTATTACTGTATAGTACGGATTATAGTATCCAAATAGTTAAACTTGTCACCAAAACCCGTGGGTTTATGATATGTTTGTGATTCAAAAAAATACACTCACATTAACCAATCAAATCGCAGTATTAGCTTTTTATATTTTTTTTACAGCCAATAAGATTGCCGTATTTTTTTTAATTTGTATATCTTTTATACCCTCCCCATTCCTATGAACTATTTAATGTTATATTAAACGAAGAATCAATTTGGAGTGGCCTAAGTAGTATATGGGCTGCCATCAATAGAAATCAAGCAGATTGACATTTTTAAAAAAAATTAATTCCTTACTTTTCACAGCTCATAACTCGATGAATTTCGAAGCCATTCTCATGAATAAATAGTCAAGTGAAAGCTTAAGATCTAAGCTTTCTTTTGACTATTCAATCATAAAAACAGCTTCGAAATTCATTAAGATATGAGCAGTGAAAGTTAAGGCATCGATTTTTTTAAAAAATGTCAATCTGCTTGATTTCTATTGGTGGCAGCCCATATACTTGGATACTATAGACTTGGTGATTCTTTATATGGAAAAAATTCTTTCTACCATCTAATCAGAAATAATGTCCAGCGAAATGTTGATGAAAATTTTCATATTTGGATCGAAACAATAACCATATTCATCCCGAAGATAATGAGAATCTTGTATAACATGTATCTTCGCAGATTGGCGTATGTATATCGGGTTCAAAAAATGATTCTATTCCCAAATAACGCATATGAGCATCTCAAAATAATGTGAAGATGGATAAAATAATGTGCAGGAGTGCGGCTATACAGACACATTATTTCGATTAATTCTTTACTGTAAATCCGATATTGTAAACTGCTAATTTATGATCTGTTATACAAGTCACGCATTCCCTTTCGGACGCGTACGTATGAATTATATGATAGATAGAATATACCCGTTGGATATTTTTAAATCAAATTTCTTAAAAATAAGGAGAAAGTAAGAAACTGAAAAATTAAATGTTTTTGCATTTTTATAAGTTTATGTCAGCACTCCTGGTCAACCAATTTTATTGGTCATCACACGCGTACACCGACAAGTAACAGGTAACACGAACCGCTATGAATTATATCTCGGTATACATACGTACAATCTGTTTGTTATATAGATAATTAACTGTATATAGTAGATTATCACTGCATTAGTAGGAGATAATCTGCGGGCAATAATCCAGAGTAATAAATATTACTTTAAATATCCACGTACTTATATGTACAAAAAACAATTAAATTATTATTCCAAGACTAAAAAAGATGATATACTTTAAGTTTGCGAATGTTTATGACATCAGATTATTGTTATTCATATATAAAGAAATTACTTACCTGATCCGAGAGATTCCATTGCAAACACACAATTACTCTATAGCAATAAATATTTTAGAGACTTTAAAGGTTTAGGTTTGGCTTGACCAATGTATTAATAGCTCTTGTAACATGCATTTTTTAATCACCCTATTTTAAACTATTTTAAACACGGCTATCGAATATCCGCGGAAAGCTCCTCGAGGAACTCGTAACCTTTAAATTTGAACACGTTATATGATCAATATGATCAATGTGAGGTTTAACAAAGTACGTACGTCCGTACATATGTTCGTACGTATGCCCGTACGTACGTGCGTATGCGGGTTCTTTGTCCTTTATCTAATCAAGTACTACTACATCCAAGGTCTTCCATATTAGGATCAAGCTTACTGTGGGCGTCATTTTATTAATAAAATAATTGGTTAAGAAATAAATGTTGACCGTCCAGTGGCTATATCGTTGCGAAACAATTTCACATGTTATAAAAGAAATGAAAATCACTTCCTGATTAATACTTGCATAAATTGTGTTCGTTTGAGATTTCATATGATAAAATAACATATACACCAGTTATTTATTTATTAATATATATAAATTAACTAAAATCATTCAGTTCCTCCATCAATTACGCGCGCAAAAAAAAAAAAAAAAATACAAAAAAACATGGTTTCTATTGCAATTCTAGGATGCGATAATAATGCATTCTATCTAGCTTCTCATCTTTTATATTATAACTATAATCCTCAAGGACATCCTGATAATAATAATAAGATCCTGTTAGTTGGTCATCAAGATCCTTTTCATGATCTTGATTGTTCAGAGAAAATTGTATTTAAAACTTTTGATGGATTAGAAATTGACATTCCTAGAGATCAAGTAAACTATACAACTGATGCGAAGAAGGTTGTAGATTTCAACCCTGATTTTGTGTTAGTAACATTAAAAGGAACTCGCACCATTGAAGTATTGAAAGATATGGTGAATTTGGATGGTAAAACTGTGGTATGAATATAGTTTTATGCTTATTAAAGGATTATAATCTCATTTACTGTAATGAAAAAAAAGTTAAATATTTGGTCTTTTTTTTATATTAAAATATATAAAGATTGTTTCGATGCAAGAAGGAATTCTCAATTCTGATATTATCAGTGTAGTCCTTCCTAACACAAAAATAATTGAAGGCCTTATACTCCAAAAAATCACATCTTCCCAAAACTGTCATTTTATTCAAGGATCGTCGGATGGTGTAATAATTCTTCAATCAACTCCTGAATCTTTAAAACTACAACAAATCTTTCATCAAAGTGAATTATTTGTACGATTATGTACAAACTTAAAAAATGTAATGTATGGTCAACTCATATTGAAACTTGGTAATGCACTTGTATATTTAAGTGGATTATCGTATGATGAATATATTAAGGATAAGAGTTGGAGACGTATACATGCATATTGTCAATGGGAAGCTTTCGAAGTATTCAAATGTCATGGAATTGAACCTGTTTCTGCTATGAATTCTTCATTACCCTTACAAATGATTCCATATTTATTAATGTCTCCTGATTGGATATTAAAACCTGTGCTTGATAATATATTTAAACAAGAGTCTATGAAGCTTGGTATAAATTTAATGTCTCAAGACTTTAAAGATTTTAATTTGGAAAATAAACTCGAAATTGATGATTTACAAGGTGAAATTGTTAGATTAGGTGGTTCAGGAGGTCTACCAACTGTTTATAATAATGGGGTATTGAGATTGGTAAAATTAGTTGAGATTGTTATGCGAGAGGTAAAGCATGATTGGAATATTGGAATCGATGCTATTGAAGTTTTAGCTTATGTTGAAAATGGAATTGTACCAAAAGTTTTATTAAATAACTAGTTACATGATAACTTGGGTTATATTTTATTAATTCGTTTACACATGATTTTTTCTCTATTTCTAAATATTTTAAGCAGTGATATAATAAATAACCACAAAAACGTTAATAATATATGATCCTTACAATAAACAAAATGACAAACAAAATGACAAAATGGAAACTAATATTCATTAGAACTCTGCGCAAATGATCTATGTCAAATCATTATTTCCAAAAGGCTCCGGGAATAAGTTTTTTATATTATCAACAATGTATTTTCCATCTGGGTTAACGAGGTATATTGAAAGATCAGTTGCAAATTCGCTGATAAATTGTCTATAAAAAAAAGTATATAATGATTATTCTAGAGAAAAGCCATGTTATAGATGTAAAATAAAAAAAAAGAAATTTGAACAATTACCGACATATACCGCAAGGTCTTGCAAATTTCTCAAAAGAATCGCTGTAAATGAAAGTTGGTTATTTCATTTATAATTCCATTCATTAGACGGGTGTTCATACGTACGTGCTAACACTAATTGCAATAAATTTCTTTTGCCCTTCGCTCTGTGAAATTAAATGTATCATTACTAATGAAATTAAAATTTGGAAATAAGAGAATTTAGGAACTTACAACTGCTTTAGTAATTGCGACGCGTTCTGCACAGATGGCTCCACCTTAAGTAATGCAAATAAATCATAGTTAAATTTTATCTAGTATTTCTTAATAGATAATGGTGTTACTTACCGTAAGATGCATTTTCAACATTAACACCTTGTAAAATAGAAATTATTAACTGTTACAGATGCAATTATCAGATAAACCTCATGACCACCGCTCTATGTATTTTACCCGTATAATAAATTCCATTTGCACAGAGAATCGCTGCACCGACACGATAATTAGAATAGGGACAGTAAGCAAATTCCTTGGCTAATATATTGTTATTAAATTTATATAAAAAGAAGCTAAAATCAATAGTGAATATATGTATATTACCCTTTAAAGCCAATTCTACAAGTTTTTCAATTTCTTCAGAGGTGGGTTCTCGCATAGTTTTGTTAATAAGTTTGTTATCGTTTTCGAATTTGAATCATTTAAATAATCCTACGTATTAGTGTATGATCTACATCAAGAAAATATTTTTATCGAAAAATAATCTGCATAAATTACATCGATATTATAGTCAAATATATTACTGTTACGGTCTAAAGTTACCCCAATAAATATTATTGACTCATGCGGATGCATATTGAGTAAATGATAACCAGTGCTTCTAGTGTGACCAGTCATTTCTAGCTTAGAATCAAATTTAGTTTAGCTGTTTTCGTGATATCACTACGTAGTGCTATTTTAAATGCTACGTAGAAATAGTTGGATACGTATCATCAAAATTATTCGTATGAGCCAATAAATATTTTTTTTTTTATATGGATACTTTAGACCATAATTCACGGTAGTTACAGAATAAAGAAACATCATGATAAGAGAATAAATGATACTTAGAAATTTGGTTAACTTCTTAACATTAATATACAGAATAAAGTTTCTTACCAGGTTAAAAATTAACGTTAAATCTTTGAAATTAGATCTTGCATGCATTAAGTAATAATTCTAGTCAATTACCTGTTGCCGTTACGTACGTATATCGACATGGCTAAATGGCTAAATTAGGCATCGATTTACCTTGAACAAGCGTACGTACGTAGCATAGCATCTGTTTATATATTAAGGTAATTTATTTTTTTCCTTTATAAATCTCATGATGAACACTTTTTCCAGAAAGTCGGATCATAATAGATCTATCGATAAAAACTCTCTTTGTTATCATATCGTAAGTAATAAGATTGTATATAATGTCGATCTTTTTTTTTCTTTAAGCGATTAATAACATTAATATAGGAGGGATTTCTTAATTGCTCATACTTAAACTCCGCAATCGACGTTGGTGACAAACTAAAGCAATCCAATGATAATTCTAAAGATAGAGATATACCAGCAGTGAATGTTAATGTATTAATTCATAAAAAAGAAGAGGTTTGGTGTTATGTCAAATATTTTATTAAATTTTTAAAAATAAACTCTTTTTTTTTTTTATTAATTAAATTTATTGTTTTGTGCAATATAAATAGTGGAATGATAGAATAAGACATTTACAATCTGTAAGCTGACAATTTGCTAAATTTTATTTTATTTTTCAACATTGTGTCAACTATCGTTATTCTATTTATTAATAGAAATTTTCGAACTCAAATAATCACACTTCATCACCATTTATATATGAAGGTTGTAATCCAAAAGAATATAAATATATTGGCGGATATTCAAATTTTATTAAGTTAGTTAGAGAAAGGTATCAAGATTTAGATATTCCCAGAGATATTAAAAAAGAAAGTGGAAAGGAATGTGAAGGTGGTGTATGTAGAATTTAAATTAACAATATGTCGCTTCTGTAAGGTTAAACTTTCCATCCATACATCTACTTAATTGACTGGAGCTGAAGGAAGATAAACGAAAGCTTTCAAGTCTTACTTTACGAATTTTCAAAATACTTGTTTCCCAGTTCATTGGAACCTGATTTAGGTTCGAACATCCAGAAATAGAACTTAAATTAGGTTCAATGTATGGATATTAAAATCTTAGTTGAAAAAATATACTAGCTGAATTTAATAAAAAAAGGTCAAATATTTATAAATCAATCAAGTTATTTTCTTAATTACAACGACCGAATTTAATAAATTTTGGTTTTAGTAGTAATTATTTAAATGTGAACCCCTAATCTCAGCATAAACCGTATTTATAATAATATATTAATATTTTACTACATTTAGCAAAAGAAGTTGTCACTTTAGATATCTGAAATAGCACCCGACTAGAATTACATACATGAATATCTAATTTCAGGGGCTTAATTTTAGCCAGATGTTACTTTAGATATCTAAAGTGGCAACTTCAGATGTGACATTAATATCTCGTCAGAATTGGATGGAATATATCTACAAGCATCGATTAGGAAAGTAACAAGGTTCAATAAATTTTACAAACAATTCAACCAATAAAGTTATTTATATGCACATGACTTGGTCATTATTTGATGACTTGGGTTCATTTACCATCCCTGGTCGGGAGTATGATTTTTTTTTGCTTCTAAAAACATTAGTACTATTATAAGATATAAATAACTTTTATGCCACTTTTTTATACTGTACAGGACAGCATAATCAGCACCTTTTTATATATGGTTTACAAAAATTGTTATACTTTATAAAAATTAAAATTAAAAAAAAAAACTATTCTAATCAATTGGCAGTTGTAAGTCTAGGTTATAATTTGGTTAATAAGATTTTTTTTTTTTGGTATTAAGGTGAACTCTTGGGTCTTTTAACTTTATTAACACATTTTTGGGAATGTAGTTCCATAAGGAACTATTACAGGAAGAGTGTACAATTTGTCACTTGTATAACTTTCTATATTATTTATTTAAGGAGTCCGTCTAATGTTCCTTACTAATTGTCATATCTAACACTTCTGCTTGGGTGTTTCATTTTAAACTCTTTGAACCTGTTCTGTGTTAATTTCATCAGATCAAACTTGAATTCTTGTCTCAACCTTAGGATATTTTTATCCTTAAGATAAACCTTTTAGAACTTGCTATATACTTATTTTACAGTTGATTCAGGTATTACTATGGCAGAATTAATACTTGTAATTAGGATTAATCTTAAATTATTAAGTTTTTGCAGAGTTTACTCAAACCTCAGCACTTACATTATAGCATATTCTTAGTATTTTAGTATATTTCTGTCTTTTCTTTAGGTTTTTAATTCAAATAGTCTATGTAGAATTATGATCAGTTTATTAATATATTAAATAAACCTAATATTCTTTTCTTTTGGTCTTTTTAGTTAAAATTTTGATAGTTTAATTAGTAATATTCTTCATTCAAAAGTTCTTGTCTATCTAGATATTTTATATTGGTATCTATTTATCTTAAGGTTATTTATTATTTGTTATATCAGATTTCTGTTTATAAATGTCTTATTTAAACTCTCTGTCTTACCTAATTTGTATTCATATATTTCTAATTATTTTATTATAAAATTAATTAACCTTGTTGTTGTCTTCTATTAAGAACCATTTAGATTTAATATTATTTCTTTATGTATTACTATTTTAGTTATAACAATGTCTGTTACTTGGCAGTAAGCATTAGAAAAATTTTAAAAATATTAATATTATTAGTAATTTTTAGATTATTAATGATATATAACACTCTTACCAAGTATTATTATTAGTAATTAGTAATAATATTTAATGAAACTTATATAAATCATTACTAATTAAAAGCAATTATAATTATTTATAAGCATTATATATTACTAATAATAAAAGAATAGCAATTCTAGTATAGTGATTAGGTTGTCATCCTTCAAGTGGCAGATTTAAGATTCAAATTCTACCTATAATGAAATTTAAAAATTAACCTATATTATGACAAAACTGTTTCTTGTTGATCAGTTGGATTTAGGTATTTGTAATCTTGAGTATAACTAATTAGGTTCTACTCATCATTAAGAGCCTAAGGCATTTATGTAAAGTGTAATATTATACATACATAGAGAAATATTAAAACCAGAGTTGCATAAGACTTCAGTGCAAACCTATAATAAGACTACTGAATATAGAAAACTATGAAACTGAAAAGACAGAATCCTACTTGAAAATTTTGAGAAAGAGATAACACAAATCTTTGATAATACTGTTAGACTGATAGAAGCTTAGAAAACCTCAATAAGAAATAGGCAGATGCAACCAGATAAAAAGATATATAGAGAAGCATATAATCAACCAGGCCATCAGAATTACTGAAGAAAAAGGTTACTAAAAGATATATCATATTGAGCCTTCTGAATTAGAAGTCTGAAAAGTCTGTCAGATTCTAAATTGAATAGTAGAGAAATGAAAAAAAGAAGTTAAAAAAATAGATACCAGGATTTGAGTGAACTTTACAAGAGAAAAAATCATGTAATATAGTAGTTTAAGGTTAGTCCTAACTGCAAGTATTAGATAATTATAGCATATTACATAAAATTCAGGTTAGCTGTATATGGGACACAGAAGTTTTGATAAGTTTATCTTGAGAATAAAATAGTCCTAAGGTTGAGACAAGAATCTGGGCTTGATCTAGTGAAGTTGGTACAAGGGTTTTGGATTAGAGGGTTTAAATGAAATACTTAACCAGAGATATTAGATATAGCAACTGATGGGGAACCTTCGAGTAGACCTCTTAAATAGGTAATATAAAAAAATTATATGTGTAGCTAGTTGTACACTTATTATGATACCTAACAGAAGTATTAATAAAGTTAAAAGACCAAAGAGGTTACTTTAATACTAAAAAATATATCTATATATATATTACTAATAATATATATTGATATATAACAATTAATTGATATATATTAATTATTTTCAATTAATATATATTAATTAAATGTTATATATTAATATGTATATATTTGTTTAAAAATTTTATTAATAAGACACAGATGGTCTTTTTGTTAAGTTACCTATTTACTTTACAAATCTTAACAGAACTATGCTCTTGCAAAATTTATCTGTATTATAGTATCTACTTTATAGCACATTTTTAGTACTTTAGTATATTTCTACTTTGTTCTTAGACTTTCAATCTAAATAGCTTAAAAGAACTGTAATCTGTCTTTAATATATTAAATTTGATCTAATATTTTTTTTCTAATTTAGTTCAATAGCATAATTAGTAATATTTCTTATTTAGAAATTCTTGTCTATCTGATTTTTTTGTATTGATATATGTTTTTTTAGTTTAGTCTTTATAATAATATTATTAAAGATCTATATTATCTTTTTATTTAAATTTTTTCAAATAGGCTCTATTTTTTTCTAATTCTATAGATTTATATAGGCACAAGAACTTATTTTAAGTTTGCATTATTTGGTATTAGTTTGCATCTTTTGTGTAATTAATATTATACAGATATCTTATAACCTGTCAATTATACTAATGTGATCATAATTATTGTATAAACATCTTATTTTAACTAATTAATAAAATATTATCATTATAATATGATTAAATATTATATAAGTAATTATTTAAATTTTTACTATTACTAGATTTTAAACCTACAACTTAACATTTAGAATTAATAATTTATTTACTTTATTAAGTAATTACATCTTTTTATTTTTTTTTTTATTTTTTTATTAAACTAGTTTTTTTTAAGACTAGAATTTTTATTCAATAGTTAGAACATAAAGACTTATAACTGAGGTCTCAAAGAAGTTATCTTATATTAAAGAATACAACTAGTTATATATATACTATAATAAAATTTACTAAAAACTAGCAAGCTGTAGTAATTTTAAATGCACAAATGTTGAATAGAAGATCTTTTATTTAAAGAAAAATAAAATAAATAAAAATAACTAAAAATAAAAAATAAATATTTAAAAATAGAA